CTCATTCTACTGCCAGAAACATCAACAACGCCAACAAGAACAACAACATCAACATCAGCAACAACATCAACATTAACAACAAAAACATCAACTTCATTAACAGTTTTAGCGACAAAGTACATCAACTCGACAACGAATACAACCATTATAATACATTGCCCAACACTTTTAGGCAACAATATCAACAACAACATCAACAACAACAGCAAAAACATCAACAACAACGACAACAACAACCAAACGGGCTATGGGTAGCCAATGAAACTAGAGAATCTTATATATAAAAATTTCATATCAATGTAATGTTAATGATGATGAAGACGACGATAATGATGTTGATAATAATAGTAACAATAATAATAATTAAAATAATAATTAAACAATTAATAATAACTGATTTATATAGCGTTCACTCGATAACTTAACTTAAAAAATATCATAATTTTATATTTTCAAAGAAAATTTTCGTTAACCTTGAAGCTTCAATATAAGCATATATCATTATCATATATAAATAACACGCTTATATATATATGTATCTATTGATATTGATATGTATCTATTATCTCTCACACAGACACAAACACACACACACACTACCTATTTATTCTTTTATAAATGCCATTTTATTCGTTCATTTTATCTAGTTTTTTTTTTTCAATTAATTTTAAATTTTGTTCATGCGTTGTATTATTTGATACAGAGTTTAGTTTTGTTAAACTAATTAATAACATTTATTAATTAATTGATTGGATTGATTGATTAATTAAGGGTTGCAGATTCGCCGCGTTCAAATAAGATCAATTGACTTACTAATTAATTAGCTAACTAGCTAGGTTAGATTTATTGTTTTAACTAACCAAACTTTTAATCTATCATTCACTCATTTATTTATTTGTTCATTCATTCATTAGTTCGTTCATTCATTAATTCATTAGTTTGTTCATTCATTCCTTCAATATTTTTTTCATTCGTTCATTCTTTTAATCATGCATGCTCGTGCGTACACACAATCAAAAACACAGAGGGACAGACAAACATATAGAGTGATAGATACATACACTGACAGACAAACATCAGACAGACAGACAGACATTGTTCATCAGCCATGCTCAATCCTTTCCGATCCCAGTTCTAACATTTGTTTGTTTTATTTGTATTTTTTGTATTGTCTTTATTTGAGTATACAAATTTAATATTTTAAAAACACGCATATGTATATATATATATATAAATATTTTTATTCATATTTTTTAATAAAATGTTTTTAATACAAAGTTTTTGTTACAATTTAATAAAGATAAATGTCGTTTATTTACAAATGTAAGTGTGTGTATGTATGTGTATGTAGGTGCATGTATGTACATGGATGTGTGTATGTATGTATGTATGTTTGTTTGTTTGTATGTATGTATGTATGTATGTATGTATGTATGTATGTATGTATGTTTGTTTGTATGTATGTTTGTATGTATGTATGTATGTATGTATGTATGTATGTTTGTATGTGTGTGTATATGCATGTATGTATGTTTGTACGAAGGTATGTTTTAAGGCACAGAGTCATGAACAACAACAACAGCAGCCACTATGACGAACGATATGAATAAAACTGTAGTAATAATAATAGAATAAAACTGTAATAATAATTATACGTTTGAAAAAATACGTTTGCGTGTGTGTGTTTGTTTATGTGTGTGTCTGTGTATGTGTGCGTGTCTGTGTATGTGTGCGTGTCTGTGTATGTGTGCGTGTCTGTGTGTGCATGCGTGCGTGTGTGGGTGCGTAATGAGACATAAATTACTTGGAAAAAATGAATAGCGAGCGAATTCAACTGAGACAGTACAACATTCCATAATTCAAGTCATGAGGGCATTTAAAAAGATAAATGCTCGCTGATAACAAAGATGATGATGATGATGATGGTAATAATAATAATAATAATAATAATAATAATAATAATAATGATGACGATGACGAAGAAGAAGACAACAATAATAACGATGGTAATTATGACAATAATAATGATATAATGATGATCAACTGTGTTATTTTAATTTTTATTATTATTATTATTATTATTAATGACCGATAGACCTAAATTCTCAGACGTTATAATTAATACATTCGAAATATTCCCTCTGGGTTGTTTTAATACTTTTGAATTTGTCTCTCTCTGACTGATGAATTTTTATCAACAACCTTACTATCTTGGCAGTAACTACGTCCTCGCATAGTATTCACTGTGATAGAAATGCAAATGAAATGAACCATCTATGGCTAATCTACACATTCCTTTTATAAGATGACGAGTTTAGCTTCGAAGATTATTCCATGACATTTTACTATTTATATTTATATTTTACTATTTATTTATTTTAATTTTGATTTCCATTGACAATTAATGGTTCTCTCATTCCATGCATGTTTTTACGGTGAAAATATAAAAATGTTCCCATTATTATTATTAAAATTGTTATTATTATTTAAATGATTTTGGGATGACGACGACGATGATGATGACGATGATGATTATGATTACGAATGATTACAATGGTAATGATGCTGATAACGATAATTATCCAAAATAACGATCATTGCAACAATATACAGGTTAAATAGCTACAAAATATAGACACAAGCTTGTAATATTAGTTGCTCCTTAACAACAAATTAGACACACAACTGTTTTGTATATGCGAGTGTATGTATGTATATATGTTTGCATGTATGTATAATTGTATATACATATGTATGTATTGTATATATGTATGCATTGTATATATGTTATGTATGTATGTATTTTTGCATGTATGTATAATTGTATATATGTATGTTTGTCTGTTCGTTAGTATGTATTTTTGCATGTATGTATAATTGTATATATGTATGTTTGTCTGTTCGTTAGTATGTTTTTTTGTTTGTTTGTTTGCATGTATGTATGTGTGTACGTATGTATGAATGTACATATGTATGCAACGTGTAAACGTACTTATACTCGCATACAAATTCTATTATTTATATTTACAAATACAAATGTATGTATAGTATATGGCAAAATATCATCATTATTATCATTATCACTATGTAACTTCGCCATGTGACGTTATATCATCATCAGGTGATGTCGTTTCATCATTACGTGACGTCATTTTGTCATTTAATCACTACGTGACGTCATATTATCATATTTAATCACGTGATGACTATACGAGATGGCCCCTGATCTCTGGCGGAACGTATACATTAGGATTGCGCTGACTGAATGGGTAAATGTTACTATTATTATTATTATTATTCTTGTTATTATTATTATTATTATTGATGTTGTTGTTGTTGTTGTAGCTGTTGTTTTTAGTTAGACTGTAGAACTTGTTGAATACGACGTGGTTGTCATCGTCGATGTTGTTGTTTATAAAGTTGTTGATGTCATTGTTGTTGTTGTTGCTTAATAGCAATGTGGGTGAATCTGAAAATTAATTCATCAATTCATTCATCAATTCATTCATCAATTCATTCATCAATTAATTAATTAATAATTAATTAATTCATTCATTCATTCATTCGTTCATTCATTCATTCATTTGTTTGTTCGTTCATTCATTTAATCATTCATTCATTTACTCATTCCCTTACCTGAAATAGCCGGGCTAATTATAGCAGATGACGCCATGCAGTTATTTATAGCACCGGCATTATGGGAATTCCCATTCATAGGGCCGATGCTATTATTATCCGCCATCATCATCATCATCGTCGTGGCATCATCGTCGTTGTCGTCAGCGCGGTTGAAAGGACGATGATGATGATGATGGAGGAGATGGGGAGGAGGAAGATGAGGATGAGAATGGAGAGGGTGATGATGATGATGAGGGGGAAGAGGAAGATGATGATGGTGGAGTTCGTTGTACGGCGATAAGATTGGATGTGGATTCTGGAAGATGTGCATCTATGGTAGCGGTGATGATGATGAAAGTGATGATGATAATTATGATAATGATGTTGATGATCAAAAACATCATCAACAACAACATCATCAACAACAACAGCATCATCAACAACAACATCATTACATACATTATAGTCAACAACAACATCATCATTATCATCATCAAGAACAACATCATCATCATCATCAACAACAACAACAACGAACTCTGGAAGCATTTAATAAGGAATTAGTTGGAGTATAAGCGCGTTGTTGCTGACATTTTCTCAACTGATTCACGTAACCATCATCATCAAAACCTGTTGTTGATGTTGTTGATGTTGTTGTTGATGTTGTTGATGTTGATGTTGTTGATGTTGTTGTTGAGGTTGTTGTTGAGGTTGTTGGTAATGTTGTTGTTGAGGAGAATGACGATGATGATGACGAGCTTTGTTGGTGACAATGACGAAAATGATTACAACTACAATTATGATAATGATGACAATACTGATGGTGATGATGATAATGACGGGGATGATGATGATGATGATGATGATAATGATGATGATGATGATGATACCTCTAAAGTTCTCAGATCCGCTGTATAAGCTGTTCGTCTGGCTTAACTTGTCAAATGCACTGTTGTATCTTGGGGGCTGTTAAAATTATTATTATTGTTATTATTATTATTTGTATTATTTGTAATATTATTATTTGTATTATTATTATTTATGGAACGCTGCTTTTATTTTTTTAAACTTTTCAATTATCTTTGCAACTCTGCTAACTGAATATCGGGGCTTCCAAATTGTTTTGAATTCCTGGAAAATTCTTAAAAGCTGATTGCCTCAAAAAACAACAATTACTACTACCATTACTTCTACTACTACCACTGCAAAAACTATTACTACTACTACTACTGCTGCTACTACTGTTACTGCTGCTGCTACTACTACTAATACTACTGTTACTACTACTACCTCATCGTCGTCATTGTGGTTGTTTTTATAAAAGTTAAGCCTGTAGTTGTTCCGTGTGGCAGTATCAAAACATCTGCTGTAGTCGAAGTCATCTACAAGCGGTGGCGCGCCTATCAAATCTAAAGTCGTCGTCGTTGTGGCCGTTGTCGTGGCTGCTGTCGACGATGACGACGACGTTAATGGGCGTCCCATTGACGTTGTCGTTGGTGGTTGTTGCGGTGTAGCGGTCGCGCCTGAAGTCGTCGCGAATTTTAATGTCGGTGTAGACGCTGTTGGTGGATTTTGTCGGTTGAAATGAATAAATAAATAAGTGAATTAAAAGTTCTCGAGTAAATTTAATCAAAACCCAGATAAAAAATATTAATAAAAAGTAAAAAACTATCAAAACAAACAAACAAACATACATACAAACATACAAAACATGTAGAGAAATACAAAAACACTTCTCGATACAAACATTTTTCAATCTCTTTCTCCCTCATCTTCATCTTCTTGATGAGACAGACGAAGGAAATAATTAGGATCATGATGACGACCAGACTCGCACAGCCGTATATCAAGATGGATTGGTCAAAATGGAAGATACTACTTTCAGAATGGGGTGGTTCAGCTTTCGAAAAATAGAAAATAAAGTTAAAATTAAATAATTAGCGATTGGTGGACATTATCGAACGCGAAACTAGTAAAAAAACGAAAGTGAAACTAACAATTTGTATAGGCCCTAAACGGACCAAGTGGGGAATTTCCAAATCCATACTCATTGAATGGAATGATAACGACGTGATAGCATGTATTCAGCGTCAATGCTGCGACAAACGTCACATAATTTTCAGTTTAAATTTATTTTTGTTACTTTAATTATTAAAATCAACAAAAAATTATTCAAAAATAATAATTAACAAGCCCACCATTTAAAGAGTAAATAATCGTTCGATCCAGTAAGCTAGATGAATCTGTGACATTTACCACAAATTCCTCATTTTTAGCCTCGCCTTCTTTTGCCTCATTATCATATTTAACCCATCCATTTTCCTCATTTGCATAAGCATTAGGCTCGTCATTGTACGCCATTGGGCAAGTTTTGTATTTGACGAGAAATGATTGGTTGGTGCCGCCGTTGAATCCCGCCCACCAAGACAACGTGATTGATTCGTGGGTTGAATTTATTATGTAAATATTAGAGGCAGGGTACGGTACGTCTGAATAAATTAATATAAATTAACGTGAACGACCTCACAATTCAATTAAATATAGTAATTACATTATCATAATTTATTCATTTGCCTAGTAAACCGACCAGGACTCTGCAGAGTGATATTGAAGTCATCAAACCCCAGCGCGTTAGAAAGCCTACACCTGTAAGAGCCCATGTCCCGCGTCTGAATGTTTCGAATTTCCAAAGTAGACACGTAAGTAAAGTTGGCAACTGTCAGCAGCGATGATGTTTGTGATGAAGACGACGACGATGAAGACGACGAAGATGAAGATGAAGACAATGAAGACGACGATGATGATGATGATGAAGACGATGGTTGTGATGACGAAGATGGTAGTGGGAGAAGTGCATATTCCAGCTGCCTCATGGACATCGTCGGTGACGCGGTCCTCATGTGGTGTTTGTTGTTCGGACTGATCCTGATGGCATCATTTCCCTAAGAAGTTTAACATTAACATCAATTTCATCATCATTTTGTTATCATTTAGGTACAATAATTTTGTTATCATTGTCAATTTTATCACCAAAAGTCAAAAAACTCGATAGATGCTACATTGAAGAAGTATTATTATTCATATTGCAATCTCACAGCATGACTCCGAATGTTTAATTTTACTACCATAACGTCATTTCAAGCAGCATAAATCTCATCATTATCGTCGTCATCGTCGTCATTATTCTAACTAACATGCTGTCTGAACCAGAGAACTGTGACCTCTGGGTACCCGTGCCCTAAACAGGTCAAGGTCACATCCTGCTTGACCTTTGCGGCTGCAATCTTGTTGTTGAAGTAGTTCGGGGCAAGGGTTCTGGCTTTGTCTGGTGGTAAGATGATGATGATCATGGTGTTGATGATCATGGTGTTGATGATCATGGTGATGATGATCATGGTGATGGGCCAACAATAAAATTGCGGGGTTAAAATTGGAAATGAAACAAAATGATAAACATAATTGATAGATAAAAATCTCACAGTTCACGAGAAGAGCCATGTTTTTCTTATTATTATTATTAACATCATTATCATCGCCGTTCTTATCATCATCATCATCACCACCGTCACCATCGTTATCAGCATCTTTGCTGTGGTTAATTTTCTGACCAATACCATTGAAAACTTCACATTTGTAGACGCCCATATTATCATAAATGACCTTCCCAATGTTCAACCTTGAAACTCCATACCTCTCCTTGCTATTGGTCGACGTTTCGACGACCCAATTATTATTATTATTATTACTTAAATTATTGATATCAATATTATATAAGTAATTATTGTTATTATTACTACTACTACTACTACTGCTGTTATTAGTGTTGTAATAGTATTTGCTATTGGCCATGTTGTAAGTATAAACATCACCACCATAATCATTATTGTTATTATTATTATTATTATTGTTGTTGTTATTATTATATTTATTATTATTATTATTATTATTATTATTATACTTATTATTATTTTGATTGTTGTTGTTATTTTCGCTAATCAGCAGCCTCCCGTTCTTGTACCAGTTAATCAAGTAGGGCTTGGGGTTGCCGTGGAAAGGGCAGGCCAGCGTGACGTCACTGCCCTCTTGGGCCGTCGTGATTGGATGGGAAAGTGGGTCATCCGATATGGTCCCTGGGTCTGATGATAATGATGATGATGGTGTGACGGGGGTGATGATGATGATGATGATGATCTAATGATGATGATGATGATGATCTAATGATCATGAAGATTTCATTTGTGTCATGATTATGTATGACACAAATGAAATTTTCTGTTATAATCACAGTCTTCATCATCGTCACCACAATCATCATCATCATCGTCACCGCAATCATCATCATCATCATCGCAATCATCATCAGTACTAACATAGTACATTCATCTGAATTATCAACCTGGACGCCCCTTCGTTGTTGTGGACTTCCAACTCGTACACCCCTTCGTCGGACCTTGTGACGTCATTAATGCTAAGCCACGCCTCTTGCACTTGAGTGGCACCTAGATGGACGTCTTTGAGGTTGATAATACTCTTTTAATAAAATTGTTCACTAATTATATGTAATTGAATATGAATAATTATTTAATTTTTTTTTTAATATTATTATTGACATTCAATGTGAAAATATTGCGTACCATTGTTCTGCAGTTCATCTTTATCAAAATTTTCATTCATATCGAGACCACTTTTAAACAGTTTTTTCACGACCCGGGCCGACATACGCAAATTGGCGAACGTGATTGGTCGATTCCAGTTAAATGGCCCCTCCTTCCTGCCGTTGACCTGCCAATAAAATTTGTCCGGGGGTGGGTAGGCGTGAACGAGAGCTTTGATAGACGCCTGAGAACTGCCCTCGGTGGCGTTGAATACTGATGGTTTTATCTCAATGAAACGCGGTTTATCTGAAATTCAAAAATAAAATAAATTATTTTTCAAAATCATCAATAGCCACGTCATTATAATTATTTAACATAATATATTTACTATAATAATTATTGTCATAATAATTATTCTATTTTGTTTTATCTTCATCATAACCGTCGTTATCAAAACTCACAATCGACTTTTAAAGTAACATTTCTTTCGACTGTGCTTCCCGTAATCTGATTGGTCGCCCTGCAGATGACCGTTGACCCGTGATCACGTGACATCGGAATAAACTTGACCTTGCTAACTGTTTTGTAACCTTTGTGGCCGCTCACCATGTTGATGTTGTTGTTGATGTTGTTGTTCACTGTGTTGTCGATGGAGTTTTCAACGTTGTATAGTTGGATCATGTTGAGGTCATCGTCGTTGTTGTTGTTGTAACTTGTTATGTACCACGTGATGTTTGCCGCCGGGTTTGACCAATCAGAGACGCAGGTCAGAGACATTTCTTTGTTTTCTTTGCGACTGATGTAGTTGGGGTTGTGTGTTTCTATGGTCACCTGCTTCGGTGGAACTGGCGGAAAAAATCGATAAAAAAATAAAACTATTTACATCTTAAATTCACTTTTAAAACAATTAATTAAATTCATGAAAATTGAAATTACATTTGAATTTAAAAAAAAACGAACAATTGACGTATAAAGTTTCGGATCTCTGTACGGTGGCCGCTTCATTGCGGGCAATACAAAACAGCGTGACCCCATTATCCTCGCTATCTAGGTCAAAGGTCAGCTTTGAGATGACTTGATTTCCGTTCATTATCGTGTGTTGAGTTGGGTTGAAGTTGTGCGTATTGAAGGCTGTGTGGTGGGGTGGTGTGGTGGAGTGTGGGTGGTTGAGGCAATTGGTGATTGGTTGGAAGGAGGGGATAGATGATTGATTGGTTGGCGATGGGAATGATGATGATGATGAGGAGGAGGATTAAAGTGGTAACAATGTCGATCATCATCATCATCTTCGTCGTCGTCGTCATCATCATCGTCATCGTCATCTTCATCATCATCACTAACTTTTCCTCCACTCCATGACAGGCGTGGGGTTCCCGCCAATTGCATGGCACGTGACCGTCAACTTCTGACCAATAAGAAGGCCTCCTTTCGGAGATTCTATGCTTATGTTAACATTCTTCGGTGGGTCTGTGATGATGATGAGGATAATGATGATGATGGTGGGTCTGTGATGACGATGGTGGTGGTGGTGGTGGTGGGTCTGTGATGATGATGATTTTTGCGATAGTAATGATAATGATAATAACTGTTACGATGACGAGAATTGTGATAACAATAACGATACCAGCAAAAAAAATAACGAAACGAACAAAGACGACGATAATGATAACGAGTGATGAGATGATGACAATGATGATGAAAATGAAAATAGCGACGATACTGGCCAGAACGATGACAATGAAACAGAAGATGATGACGATAAAAGAGAGAAGAAGATGATGATGATG